CAGATTCTTGGCCATACTGAATTAAAAAATTGTGAGCCTGGGCCCCTCAAATCTGCATGGTTAACAAGCTCATGAGGTAATTTAATATCATATGTAATAGAAATACAGATGATGGAGACTATTTACATATATAACATATATATGTTATATATAAATATATAATAGATACTATTTGCAGGCAAAATTATAGATGGTAGGCTGCTATCAAAGTTTGAAATGCAGGCTTGGAAGAGAAAGATGTATTCTTAATGTCTGCCTTTCTTTTCTAAAGATATAATTAATTAATTAATTTAGAGAGAGTGAACAGGGGGAGGGGCAGAGAAAGAGGGAGAGAGGATCTCAGGCAGACTCCCCTCTCAGCATGGAGCCAGATGTGGGGCTGGATCTCATTACCCCAAGATCATGACCTGAGCCAAAATCAAGCATCTAACGTTTAACCCACTGAGCCAATCAGGTGCCTCTGGTGTTTACCTCTTAAAATAATATGCTACCTGACTGGAACTTTTGATTGATCCCACTGGAATATTGGCATATATGTAAAGTGAAATGATTTTTCAAGCAGCAGTTGATTACATCATTCATAAGACATAGCATTAAGGCAGCTGGAATTTGTGCCCAGTGACCATAGATCATACGTTCTGTTTATGACCATTTTTTTTCATTCTTCAGCCTCCTTTCCATCATTTCCACAAGTTGAAATATCAGAAGTTGAGATTGGTTTTTCCTAAGTTTTTTTTTTGTTTGTTTTTTGTTTTTTTAACCAGCATTTTTTAAACTGCTTTGAACGATTAGTTTTCTCCTCTGGGTGTTTTCAAATTGATTTTTAGTGGTGAGATTTTTAGTTCCAGAATTTTGTCAGGTATGAAAATCAGGCTAACAGGTCAGTAATTCTCAGGCCGATTCTATTTCATTTTCTAAATCATCTTAATGTTTTAATCTGCTCAAACCTCAAAGTGTCCATGCAGTAAAGGTCCCTTCTAAAGAGCAGCTGTTGAACAGAAAGAACAGTGCCGAAATGAGAGCATAAAAATGGAGAGGGATGGTGTGTCTAAAGCTCTAATCGGTACTTTATATGACATTTTAAAGGCATTAAGTATTTCAAAGTCATTAAGAAAATTGTTATTACTGTACAAGACATTAAAAAGAATAAATTCACCTACTAGGCTGTTCAGTTCTCGGTATGAATTTCTTTAGAACAGTGAAGAATCCATAGTAATGTTCTAATACTTTCATGCTGTCATGAGAATTAATATCTGAAAGTTTGCAAATATTGTCTCTAAATAGAACAGGGTTGGACATCAGCTTTTTCAGGATGCATTTCCTTCCCTGATGCCCTATTGTTTTTGACTTAAAAGGAAAAAATGAACAAGCTTGTTCATTTTATGGGGCAAGCCTTGTTGCTCGCAAATATTACATTCTATCAGTGTTTCCTTCCTTCCAAATGCATTTCCAATGGGTTGCAGCATTGTTTGTTTCTCATTTTATTTCAAATACTACTCCGTTCCAGATTCATCAGCTACTAATTGAGCAATCAAACCAGGAGGCTGCCAATTTGCAGTTGGACTTTAACCTGCTTGCTTTTAATAATGCTTGAATATAGATCCTAATTTATGGGCTTCATGTGAATATTATTAAACCTTCCCTACTATTCCCTTGTGCTTTGAATGTTCATTCACCTGTGAAGATAGCTGAGTGGATAAATAAACTTATATGTAGACCTGGCAAATCAGAGGGATATTAGAACTAGAGTTCATCTTGATTTAAAAAAAAAAAAAAACAACCAACTTTATATTACATTATTTATCAATTTATTGTTTTTTAAACGAAGAAGACAGAAACATAGAAATAACCCATAAACTGACTTTCACTGCTTTTTATGAATTAAAAATGGGGGACCCGTTAATATGTATCCAAGTCTGCCTGTCTTTCCACCCTTAATTTCACAGTGGCTGGTGGTTACATGAGTTAAACATGGCTTGAGCCTCTAAGGGGTGAATGAGAGACTATGGAGGGAGAGGAACCAAGGGGGCACCAGGGAGAGGGGTAGACCAAGAGGGAAGGGGGCTGAGATATCAGTTCTGCCACTCCACCTTACTTAGTGTCCTTTTATCTAGCACTTCCCGAAAGACAGTGGTCAGCTATGCCTCAGAGTTGCCACAAAGAGCAAGGAAGATCAATACTGCAAGTTTTTATTTTTTGTTTTTTGGGGATTTTTTTTTTTTTTTGGCCTGAGACAATGAGAAGCCACAGATGACCTTGTGAGATCAAGTCCTATAGAGAAATGAGGACATAATTCAGATGTCTGCTGGCTGAGCAGGGAGGAGGTGAGGGAGTGGAAAACAGTGGAGGGGGGCTCATCTGCCCGGAAGCTTGGCCAACTGCAGCTAGACGTGGAACACCTCTGGGTCCTTCCCAGGGAGCCTCCCAGAATTATGCAGTGACAACCTGAACAAACGCAAGCAGACACCGATGTCCCCATATCTCTCATCCTACCCCACCCAACACGGAACATATATATCTGATGCTGAGTGAATGAAATTAGTGAATGTTTCTTGACTACATGAAAGAAAAATGGACAGAAAGGAAGCAACTAGATTTTTATCAAGAATCTAGTGATGAACATGAGAAGAAACCCAGGTTTCTAGTTTGAAGATTTTATCAAGAATCAATTCGATTTTGAGAATTAGACAAAGAACTACAATAATGCTAATGCTAAAAATAACAGCTTCATGTTGGTATAAAGCTTGATGGTTCATGAAGCGACTTTTAAAAAAAAATACTCATTGTCTGTTACTTTATGAAAAAATGCAGCATGGGAAGTTATGGGAAGAATTGTAATCTAGAGAATATTCAAGAGTGAGACTTGAAATTAGAATATAGAGAAAGTTCTTAAAATAGATATCTAGTACTATTGCCTTATGATGTGTGGCTACAAAGACTGAATTAACACCCAGGAGTAACCCTGGGATCAGAGGGTGCAAGAGGGGCATAGCATGAAGTCATCCTATTCCCCACAAATCCATGGGAGTCTGAGCTTTGCACAGCCTTGTGGAGCATTCTAGGTTCTCGACTTAAAGCTGGACCAGAAAGCAGAAATTTGGAGAAGAATTCAGAGGAAGAGAAAGAGAGTATTAAAGACTAAAGAACCAGGACCTACTGTAAGATGTTCAAGGAACTCAACACTTCGTAAATCCTTATTCGCTGTTTCAGAAGTCACAATGAGTCATATAACGTGTGCGTGGGGGGATGGGCTCTCTCCCATCATTTCACTTACAACTACCTCATAAAAGCAATACCCAAACTTGGCTGCGGGATCTTCACCAAGCATCCTTTGGTTTCCCTAGTTCAGCTCCCTCGGGGAAAGAGCATTCTCACAAAACCGTGTGGTGGTTCCTGACTGACTTTGCAACCAGGGTAGAATGAAAAGAAATACGCCATCCCATTGAGACTAAGTAAGCAACGGAGAAGTTAGTTTAAACAGACGTTGTCAGAGTGGGGTATGGAATCTAATTCTCTGGAGAGTTTTAAAAATAGGCCAGACACTCGTCTCTGTGGCACGGCTTCAGCCTGCGGAGGAGCTGAAGGGCAGGCACAGCCTCTCATGTTCCCTTCCACCTCTACGAGTCTATAGAGTAAAACAATATCTGAGGAGGCCTCATGGGCAGGATGAGCTCACAGTAACTCCAGCTCCTGTCTAACTAGAGGGCTTTCTCACCGCATGGAATGAGAAGTATATAAGAACGGGTGGGGTCAGAATGTTCCCTGAGCCACCCTCTGTTGGCATTACCGAGGCAGGTCGCTGCCTCCACCAGCGCTGTGGGCTGAAGAGCACCAAGGACACCAGTTAGTATTGAATGATAGTGCTCTGTTAGATTTCATTCGTTCCACTGCTCTGCATGCATGCGTGTGTGTTTGTGTGTGTGTGTGAAAATACAGTCAGAGAAGCTCACTGGAAAGGAAATACGGTTAAAAATCTGGAAAACCTATGGGGACAGAACCTTCCTATTGGAGGGAGGTTAGCTCCTAATGTCAAGCATTTGATTCTGACATTAGATCACAACATTTAGCATTTACATTTTCTTGGGTCTGAGGTCTAGCCAGAGTTGTTGTCTGGTGCTAGCAGATGGAAATTTTCCTCATAGACAATGAGCTTTCTCCCAGTCCCCTACAGCTACTGGGTAATGGCCGGCCTCTCGAAAGAGCCGAAGAGACAGCAAAGCTGACAGGCACAGTCAGAGTGAGCTTTAAATATCGTGCACCCCATCATTTGGTGGGTGGGTGTTGTTGCTAACTGTGCTTCCACTTCAACAAAGAAAGTGGTGAGTTGCCAAAAAACAAGGATGTTCCATCTTAAGGATTGTGTTGAATTCTTTCCAGAGAAGCACTTTTTTTTTAAAAGATAAATTTTATCCTAAAACATTTTCCAAATTTATTGAGGCATTCTATCCAAGGAAAATAATTCAACTATTGTGCCATGTAACTAGAATTTGTAGAATTAGAACAACTTTCTCTCACTGAAGTTCTCTCTTTATTCATCAGCGGTCTCTGACAGCCTGGGTGGGGTGGGGGTACCTGTCAAGGTCACAGTCATGCAGGCTGGCCAAAGGATACACTGGACCTGGCTACCTACAGCCTAGCAAATGTACAAACAGGTGGTAAAAATGTGATTTTAAAAAAATTGTTCTTTCCTCTTTGCCTCCCATAATTACTGCATTTCTAAAAGGTCAATTTTGTTTTTGTTTTTGTTTTAGGAAAAAGGGCCTTCCCTTGGTTTCCCAAATACTATGTTGGTGCCCTTCCTTAGAAGTCTTCCCCTTAATTAGGTTGGCCCGAAGGTCACAAACATAATCAATATGGAGGCCGGGTACTGCAAGGTGCTAATTGACATCCCCAAAGAGGAATAGTGTCAACAATCAATAGGGAAGAAGCGAGCATTGGTAGATTTATGGCTTTGATTTTGAAAAGGTATGGGAATGCCCCGTGATGTTCCCCCACCCTGTGCTCCTTTCGAATGTTAATGCTTTCTTGAAGATGATTTCAGACACACTGCTAGGATACTGCCTCTACTCACTGAAGCAGAATCCTCTGAAGAGTTGCTGAGGCAGAACCAGAATCATGGCTCGCCACAAAGCAGCAGCCGTATTGGCCGCTAACAACGCCTCACACAGAAAGACGATGTTCCTTTAACTCGGGGGTTTTAATGGGAAGTTTCTAAGCCTGAAACAACGGCTTGAGATCTGGGGTGTGCCATTAGCTGCTTGCAGCTGCCACTGTCTCCTGCCTCAACCCAGCCTGGTCGGGAAGAATGGAAACTAAAGAGGCTTGTAACTACCTGTAACTGTTCCACTGGGAAATGGATCAAGTCTTTGTTCAGCCAGATTCAGGTACTTGACCGACACCGGGTCTTTGATGGGCTAATTAATGCTTTTCTCTAACTTTACGATGTATGCATGAGCGATAATCACAGAGATGCCTTTTGCATCCAAGTTCTGAATTTAGATCTACATGTCAGATGAAGTCTAATTAAACAGTTGCTAGGTAAAGTTAATAACCAGGGGGTGAAATGGAATGATGCCTTGATGTTTAAAGCATGCTTAAGTCTACAGTGCTACCGATACGGGATAAAGGAGTAGTAAAACAGGCTCTTTTCTTTGCTAAGCTGCAGTAAATTATTCCTGAAAGCTATCTGCCCATTATAGTAATTCTTCCATTCACCCGAAACATCAAACCTTCTAAAATGTTATGGGAATGTTTTAATTTGTTCACAAAGGATCACAACTTAACTACTCCTAATGATAACGCTGACTGTCCCTGGTGTCCCTGGGTGGTCAGCACGGTGCAGCCCCAGCCTTTTGAGGTATCAGCAAGCACTGTTTTTCACTAGGAAACATGCAAGGACAGAGAAGGCAAACTGGGGATACTAGTAAGCTTTATCGTTTGAAGAGAAAAGTTCCAGTTTGCTAAGGGTGCCTTTTGGGACCCCCAGTTCCCGACTGGGCACTCACGTGGGGTTTTCCTGATATTCTGAGCAAGGCTGCAGACTTCCCCTGCAGTCCCTTTAAAACTCTTCTAGCAAGTGTTGGGAGGAAGATGAAGACAGGGAAGAAGTGAAGAGAAGGGTAGGGCTCAGACTGAAGAGAAAGGTCTCCTGCTGACCCAGAGCTAGCGAGCCAGGACCAACAGGGTCCACTCCCAAACCCAAGCAGGCTGACTTGGCAGTGACAGTCTGAGGGAACAGACTTCCCAGGGCAGCAGTGGGGGCTGGTGACTGTTCCAAACCTGCCTGTTGATGTTTGTAGCTGACCACACTCACGTGTGTGTCAAGCCATTGTTTTAGCGCTTTCTAGTAGCCATGGGTCTTTTTGCTGGGCGTACAAAGTACTATCTGTCCTTAGCCATCCTGTGAATTCTGAAGCATTAGGGCTTTTGCATTGGATCAAGAGGGCTGTATTCAGAAAAGAAAAATATGGAAGTTGCTATGTATTTATGTGAGAGGAAAAAAAAAAAAAGGAGGTATATGTTGGTTAAAATATATGAAGTACCTAAAAAGAGCCAGGAACTCTACCTGAATTTCTGGGCTGGTCACCAAGAGGGCCATGAGTTCTTCGAATTTATAGGAAATATTTTGCATCCTTGTGCATGTATCCTGGAATGCAAATTACTGATCCCTGGGCTCATACACAGTAGTTCTACAAGATTCATGGGTAATAACTTTTGTTTATGTAGTGATCTGATTCCTTAGATGATAAAGTAGGTTTTATGGAAGGCTCACAGTTATAGGGGAAGATATATAATAGGGTCAACTGGGATGTTTACACGTCTGGGGTGGGAGGGTTGGGAGGAAGGGTGGAGTTTATCTCTGGAGCCTCCAGTTTTGCAAACAGCAATGCAGCCAAGGCTTCGTTTAGCTCAAAAAGCAGAGATGATTCTATTTAGTCTCACTCTGATCATACGTATTACGTTAATCATTGAAAGGCATGTTAACATTTCAACAGTCAGTTTCAGAACTGCTGCAGAACAATGTGGCACTTGGAGGACCTTGGTTTCTGTTAGTCGTTGCAAATTCAGTCTTGCCCACCTAGCCAATTCCCTTCCTGGTACAGTCTGCAGAATGGCCTCACGAGTTGGCCAGATAAATATAAATAAGATACACAGGATGGCTTTGTGGGATGGAGTGTCCTGTCCGTCACAGGCTAATGTAAACTCTACAAACCTGTGAGTGTTCTTGCTCAACAGACCCACAGTTTTTGCATCTACTTTTGGAAAACGTGTCAAGTCACATAATGAGGTTTCTGGCCTAGAAGTTTTAAAAACGGGGTGTGGCACTTAAGTGGTTTAGAGGTACTTAAAATACAGGCAGGATGGCTTCACGGCACCCAGCACACCGTGAGCTGCTGAGGGATGACTGGCTTGCTACTCCTTACATGCTGGAGAGAAATTTGCGAGTCAGCAGCCTTCGGGGAATGCTTCTCTTCTGGTAACTGATTTTTATGATTTGGGGCGGTTTACTTATAATCTCCATTCCCCAGTGTGCTTATTTGCATAGGAGAAATTAGAAAGAAACTTGTTTTGCACACAAATGGTATACAGAGGAAACGCTCATTCATCAGCACGGATTTATTGAACGCTCACGATGTGCTAGGCAGGACTTCACAGACATTGCATCTGTTTTAACTATGACCACTGCAACCCGTTGTGGAAGAGTTGGGGGAGGGTGTGAGCTACTGGCCACAAAAGTGGGGGGTGGGGGCAGACCAAATGCCTGTGGGCAGCTCCACAGAGCCATGTGCCAAAGGCACCAAAATCATTCTGTTGCTGTCGCTTTAAAAATAAGAAAAGGAATGTGTCACTGCTTTAAGGTCTATTTTCTTCAGATAAAATAATTTCCCTTACTGTTAAATTGTATAATGTGATGCTAACAAAATGAAATGTCCAAAGGATCCAAGCTTGGGGAGGGTGTATGTTCACATGTGTGGTTTCCAGGTAAGGCGTCTGGCTTCAGGATATTTGGAACGGTTGCTCTTCCCCAGGAGCAGAGCCCCTGAGCTCAGAAAGGCTTGAGCCCTGGAACAGCAGGGCCACCACTAATTTTTGTATTCGATGGGACTCGACCCATCAGCCTGGAAGCCCAGGAAAATGTAAAAAGCCAAATAACTGCTTTTCAAATAATGAAATCAGAGACTATTAATGTGTCACTGTGACTCAGACTAGCTACAATTCTTTGAAATAAGATCTATTTCAAACACAATGGTCTGACATCCCAGGCTGGCTGGATGACATGGGCTTTTTTATCCCTTCTTTCTATCAGCTGGCCCCTCAAAGTTTGAAAATTCAGTTCCTCGGATTGTAAGGCGCCAGAGATTTGACTCAACCTCCATTAAAAAAAAAAAAAAAAAAAAAAAAAAAAAAGGCAGTGACCCCAGAACGGCCAGGAATTTCTCAAGGAGCTTGCTATTTAGTAAGGGGACTGAGCTGAACACCCGGTGGAGACGGGTCCTGTGAGAGGTGCTGTGGCAGAAAGCAGGTGCAGGGTTCCCTGGGGGGCAGGGAGGAACAGAGCAGGAAGTACCCCATCCCTCTGGTGCAGGGAGAGACGGAGGCCCCACTGAGGAGGTGGCACTTGGTGCGAACCCTGAGGGAGGGAGTGAAACCCACAGGCGGGAGTAGAGCGAGGAGGAGGGCATCAGGCAGAGAGCACTATGACTAAAAGCTCAGAGGTGGGAAACCTGGAGGGGTTTAAGGAACAGCTCGTGTTAGGTAGAGCTGCTGCGCAGACCCAGTGAGGACGGCCTCCTCAGGTGTCTGCAGACTCCATCCCACGTAAGTCTGTTCTTCTTGGTCCTTGCCCTCCAAGCCAAATGCAATTTGATGTGTGTTCCTGTTCGAACTTAGGAGGAAAAGAAATTCCTATATTACAAAAATTCCATTGTCGGAATATGACCTCATTGGTCATCCAGGAAACAGGGCTCTCAGGTCCGGGAGGGATTCAGTGGCCGGTGAGGGTTCTTGGTCGTTGGGGTGCCGAGGTTTTCTGGAGGGAAGCAGTGGTAAGATCTGAGCTGAGAAGGCTGGGTCTTGGCGTGGTATGTCGGAAGCATGAGAAAAGAAAGCGAGGCCTCTGTGTACATCATTCTAAGTGGGGCCCGTGGCTGACAGTGAGAGGGACTAGGGCTGAGAGGAACTGCTCGCCCTGGGCTTCGTAGGTAATGCAGAGGGTTCTACACTTTGTGCGATCGGAGTCCAGGGAGCTTGACTCTGGGGATGCGTTATAAGATTTTTGAGAATGGCATCTTTTAATTCAGTTTTCTTCAGTCCAGCATTAAAATGAGCCTTTATTATGTCCTGAGCCCACACAAATGGAGGTCCAGGAAGACAGGCATGTGCCACATGATGGGGAAGACTATTAGGATTGAAATAGGGCCATGAGAAACTGTGGTCCTCTCGTACTTAACACAACCGCCTTTTGTTATTATTACCACTTAGGACGATTGTGTCGGAAATCCTTTGAAATAATTTACTTGCCCAGATTTCTCTATTTGCCTAAAAGGAAGATTTCGTTATTCAGGTAGAAGCCGTCGTGACTGTTTCACAAGGATCATTTTTGCAGAAAGGGGACATTTCACTCCAAGGCAGACATTTTAAAAATTTTGCTGTCTTTGAATATTTTGGGACTGTGGTAGTCCAGTGATCACACTTATTTTTCTTTTTCTGCCTCTTCCTCTATCTGATGCTGCCTTTAACTTAAATGTGCTGTGGAGCTTTCCAGATTTGTAAATTATTGATTAGCTGATGGCGGGTTTAAAATCAAGCAGGCTCTTCTAGGGATTTCCATCCATCCCAGGCAAAACTGTGAGAGACCTGGCTTTTCTTCCTTGGTCTCTGTATCCCCATATCCCTTTATAACCATCTCCAGATCTTCTCAACTGTATCTCCCATTCCCCACCCTCCCCAGGAATTCTCTCCTCCTGGGCCATTGGCCCTCAGTACCCCATGTCTCCTCCCCCCAAACCCCAGTGGCCCCTCATTTCCAGCAAGACCCATGAGCCCCCTTACTATCTACCACATTTTCCCTCCTTCAAGTAAGAGCAGTTTTCCCAGACAAATCCTTGCTAAGTGTTAATGTGCCACTCTCCGTGGTAAAAGACTGCAATTTAATAAAAGGCTTTGAAGAGTTGGCCAAATGAAGTTATTTTAACAGGTACTGGGTTATCACAGTATGCTGGGAAGGGAGAGGCTGATGATTTATAAGGAGTTGTGACATTTTCAAAATGCTTTCCTTTCCGTTTTCCCATCAGTTGGGTGTATCAGGAAGGGGTTGGAAGATATGTGTTTCTGTTTCAGCGGGCTTCTAAAAACCTGTGAGGAGGCTGCAGAGAGGGTTAACCATATTCTTGCATCTGCCTTTTAATCAGCACAGGGTGGCATCTGTGCAAATTAAAACTGATTTTTAAGTCTTTCTAAGGGTTGGCTTCCCTGGGAAGAAGCCAGGCTCCAGGCTCATTTACAGGGAAACGGAAGAGGGAAATGGGGTTCATAACCTGAATCAGGATGACTGGGTTACTTCTAGGGCTTCTTGGAAGGGTCACCCATGCCTGCAGCCCCCACATGAATGGTGGACCAGCTCGAAAACGCGAGTGATGGAGGAAGTCTAGGCAGTATGAGATGATGAGTTAGGAGAAGAGGAATTGGTATTTTGCCTTGGACGAACAACAAGGGTGGGAAAGACTGCTCCTGGGCATCAAGATGGCTCTTGTCGAGTGGGCACTGGGGGTGAGAAGGGAAGGATTGAATAAGGAAGGTATCACTCTTTTGGTCCCCCAGCTTGTGGCTAGGGAGTCATCGCAGGCTCAAATTGTCCTATGTCTGGTTGCTCACTGTTTTCAGTGAACTTCACAGATCCAGAAATCTTTATGTCGTATGCTTACATAGTTAATGGGCTTCCGTTTTTCTCTATTTCCTTTCTGGATTATATGATGTTTTCGTAGAGAATGTCCTAAAAATGCATAGCTATCTCAGCCGTGTCAAGAGCAGATACAGACACAGAAAGGGACTCTGGCCTCATTTGGGCTGGAGGGGAAATGGACATAGAGTGGGATTCCTAGTAAGTCTGTGGGGAGGGCAGGGTCAAAGTGATGGGATGCTCAGTAGGACATGGAAGGACAAAAGGGAACATGACAGGACAGCTTAGACATTTATTCCTTGAGCAGCACACAACTTTCTTTTGACCCAGCCCTTGGTGAATTTTATACTCGGTATGAACAAGTCTAGTTTGGGTATCTCTTGGGTGTGCAAACGGCCCTTGCTGGAGGTACTAGGGACTAGTACTAAGGAAGTACTAAGGACTGCTGCTGGCTACCCTTTCCTGCCCCCTCCCTTCAACCCAGTTATCTGCCAAGAGTTAACAACCAAGGTTGGGGGGGCGCCTGGGTGGCTCAGTGGGTTAAAGCCTCTGCCTTTGACTCAGGTCATGATCCCTGGGTCCTGCCCCACATCGGGCTCTCTGCTCAGCGGAGAGTCCTCCGGTCTCTGCCTGCCTCTCTGCCTACTTGTGATCTCTGTCTGTCAAATAAATAAATAAAATCTTTATATATATATTTAAAAAAAAAAAAAAACAAGGTTGGGAGGGTGTTTAAAAGCAAGCAAACCAAACCAAACCCAATCCGTCAACATCCTCCATATCCCCAAGGAGCTTATTTTTAAGAAACACCATCAAATTTTATCCCAATCTTGCTTCAAAATAAAAATGAATGATAAACAAATCTACTGCAACTATTCCAGCCTTAAACAAAATTTAGTCACAGAGCTGCAAAATATTCTTTCCCCCCCAAATTGGTAACTCTTTTCTTATAGACACTGGTTGTAAATCCCTTTATAAACGGTGTCCTAAACTGTGATTTTATAAACTTTTAAGTGTCAACATATGTGCAAGCTGTTATGATCACTAATGCTATACTTCAAGGCAACAATTAGAAGTTAGCTGTAGAAATATTGTGTTTGAGCTTTAGGTCATAATTTCTATTTTTATTTGGTTGCTTATTTTCACTGAATGTAATTTCTTTTGAATCCATGTTAATTCCCATAGCTGAGTACTCTCCTATGCATTTTTTCTTATAAACAGACTCACACATAAATTTAGTTCAACATCTTGAGTTTTTATGGCCTTTGTGTATACTCCAACTTGCCCTTAAAGACAAACAGTAATATCCACATATCTTAATTTTTCCACCAGTAAAATGGAAATAGTGATAACTTATCTTTTTCCTTCTCTTCCTTTTTATCAAATGGTCTCAAGCAGTAGGAGGCCACTGTAAGGCTTTTTTGAAAAAATGCAGCCAATCAATTCCTTTTCCTTAGTTCAGTTCTTGAGGTGCTTCTCTGGGTCACGTATTGAACCTGGCCTTTGTTTTCTGAAGAAAAAAGAAAAGCAGCAGGAGCTTGATGGTCTGGGAACCTGAGATGCCTTCTTTTTCCCTTGGTCTAGGCAAGAGAAAGCAAAGGAGGAGCATCCTGGCTTCCACAGCCATGTCTGAAGAGAAGCAACTCGTAGTTTTATTTTTCTTCTTTGTATACTTTTCTAAGTGTTTTCGCAGACATCCATCCTCATTATGGCACCGTGAGATACACAGGCATTTCTGATTCCATTTTTTGGCTTAGTGATCTCTTCAAGGGCCCATACTCATTGAGTGGTAAAATGGAGGCCAGAGGCTGGGGCTCAGAACCCCTGAGAATTTCTCTGTTAAGTACCTTTTCCAGCCTCAGTTTCCTTACACCGGGGTTTTAGAGGTCTCCGCTTTCACGGAGCTTGTAGTAGAGTGGCTAACCTATGTTGTGTTTAGCTATAGTCTTGGCACATAGCTGATGTTCCATCAATGGTATCATTATGAGAATGATGTGAAAGTCATATTATTGGAGGGAATCTGGAAGAGACTTGGCAGGGGACACTCGGTTTGGATGTCAAGCTGGCAGCACACCCCGAGGTCAACATTACCTTGCGCATTTCTCATCTTCTGTACTTTGGTTGTCTTCCCCGCCCAGCCCTCCTGGCCCCAGGTGCCTGCTCTGAGGACAGTTTGGTAATTTCATGCAAGAGTAAAATATTCTCTCTCATAATTACACAGAATGTAGCATGTCTGTGAAAAAGTTTAGAGATTCCTTGTTTTCTCTGACGAACAGGACTGTGAGCATAGAAATCATTTTCTATGATTCTCCTTGCCTTTCATTCTTCCTGCAGATAACTCAGCGTCTCCACGGGGCAGCCACCATGATCTCAGCAGACTGATGATGGGAGAAAAGGAAACTGGGAGATCCCATTCTTCTGCTTCTCTGGACGATGGATGGAGGACAGCCTGTTCCTTCACCCCTAGTGCCCCTTGAGAACGCATCAGCAGATTCTAGCATGTCTCTGGAGCAAAAAACCACATTTGTGTTTGTGATTTTGTTGTTCATTTTCTTGGGCATCCTCATTGTCAGGTGCTTCCGGATCCTTCTGGACCCATATCGGAGCATGCCGACCTCAACCTGGGCTGATGGACTTGAAGGGCTGGAGAAGGGGCAGTTTGACCATGCCCTTGCTTAGCAGAGGGGAGGCAGGATTCCCCTCCTGAAAGGGGGAAGTGTGGCATGTCTTGGTAAGGAATTCTCTTTAGTCAATGTTCTCAACAAACTAAGTTTTAACAGCACCTTGTCCTAGACCTCCCTCATTTATTAAACATGCTGTTCAGTTAAAAGCATTTGAAGGGTATTAGAGATGAAGGTTTATAACACTCTCCTAAAATAGGAAGCCTTGGATTTCCATGTTGACTCAGTGAATGAATACTGCTGAACGTGTGCGATGGTGAAAGCAAGAGCATCAGCACTGACACAAACTTTGCCATAAAATGAGGCCCTCTCCCACCCAACCAGAGAATGAAGAATGGAAAGGATCTGAAGCAAATCTGGTCTCAGCACCATGAAGAGGCTTTCTTGTTCTGAGTGTGTTCTCAGTTGGCTTATTTACATGGGAATCTGGGTTCTGGGCAAAGAGACTGGGTTGAGTGAACCTGGGGGAGCCTTGGGAAGCCAGGGGGTGGGGGGCGCTTAGCACAGATGGTTCCATCCCTGGAAAAGATGAGTGATGTTGATCTCATTTTATTTCTCAAGTACAACTGAATTCAGAGGCTTATGGAGATTTGCAAACCCTACACCAGGCCAAGTACATTCTAGGTATTCATATTAATTAGTAGTGTAGAGGTAGCTACATACATAACCTGAATTGACTTTCTTGACGCAAGTGATTAAAATAATGGGTTGTGAGTGCAGCTATGAGTTGTTGTTGTTTTGTGTGTGTGTGTGTGTGTGTATATGTGTGTTTTTAATAAAAAGTTAATTGTTTAGAAGAGAAGACTGTCACAGTCTTAAGAGGAATGTATGTTTGTGACAGAATAGAGAAGCCAAATAAAACTTCTCAAGAAACGGTAGTGTCTTCTCTCCTGTTTCACTGAGACGAGTGCCTTGGTGGCCGCGTGTGATGCTGAGCGCGGGGGACGAGCCATGTTCAAGAGACAGAAAAAGCTGCAAGGTCATCAAGTTCACCCCTCTCCCATTTCAGAAAGGGCTCCCACACATTGTCCTGTACACATACAACCTATCCTAAGCACTATTTAAGACCACTGAAAGAGAGCTGTGAACACCTCTTATTCCAACTTCTCTTGGTAGGAAAACCTTGTGTCTAAACTAAGCCCCTGAGGCCATATTTATAATCTCTGTCTTCTAATTTTCTCCTCAGCTAGCCATCCTATTTTTTAAATTAATTAAAAAAGTTCAAAAAGTCAACTATGCCTGAAAAAGCAGCCCTTAGTAAAATTGCCTCCTTGTCTTTTTTTTTTTTTTTAAACATTCTTCGGAGGGCCTCCTGTTCGGATTTTCCCATCTCCCCATGTTCCCCTTGACTTCGTTTTTAAATTTTTAAAAATTAATTAATTTTTAAAAAATAACTTCTACACCCAGTGTAGGACTTGAACTCACAACCCCAAGATCAAGAGTCATACACTCTTCTAACTGAGTGGGCTAGGCATCCCTCTTGACCTTTTTATTAAAAAAAAAATAAAAGCTTTATTGAAACATAATTCACATACCACAAAATTTACACTTTGAAAGTGTACAATTCAGCAGCTTTTAGTACTTTTCCAGAATTGTATGACCATCACCACTGCCTAATTCTACAATTCTGTACCCATTAGTAGTGATTTCCCAACCCCTTTTTTCCAGCCCCTGGCAACCTTGAATCTACTTTCTGTCTCTATGGGTTTGCCAAGTCTGGAAATTTTATTTAAATGGAATTACAGAATATGTGGTCTTTTGTGTCTGGCTTTTTGAAGTGGCATGTTTTCAAGGTTGGTTCATCCATGTGGTAGCATTCCTTTGCATGGCCAGATACTATTCCATCATTGGGTTGTACCATGTTTTGTTGGCCTATTGGCTGTCACCAATATACGGTGGCTAATATGAGTATTGCTGTGAACATTTGTTTCCAAGTCTTTGTATATTTTCAGTTCTCTTGCGTGTATTCCTAGAAGTGGATTTGCTGGGTTATATCTTAACTCTATGTTTAACTTTTTGAAGAAGCAAGAGACTGTTTCCCAAAGTGGTTGTTGCATCATTTTACATTCCCACCAGCAATGTATGGGGCTTTTGGTTCTTTTCTTAACTCTCTCCAATGACCCAAATTTCTTCTTTAGCTATAGACTTCATAATGGAACACACCACTTCAAGGATGAGCCAGATTAAAAGGAGAGAACCACCTTGTGGTATCTACATGCTGCTAGTTTACTGATGCCTCTGAAGATCCTTTGCTTCTAGATCTAAAGCAAAATACTGATGCTGAGCTACACGTCATCCCGTGGTCTGTGATGTCACCTGAATATTTTTTTTTCTGCTTTACCAATACAAATTTCTTTAACCCACTAATTAAAAAGTTTTCTTTTTTTATTGAAATGTACCACATCCCATGTGTCCTTATTCAATATTTTCCTATTTTATTGGGTCTATTTAAACCCATTCAGGTATTAATGAAGCACCTGCTTCGAGCCTGTCCTTTCTGGCACAGGGCCACTTCTTGCTCTAGTACCTTTCAACCTTGTTGGAGGCTTAAGAAATGAAAGAAGGTTTGTGTCCGAATCCTTGTTCAAATGACCAATATGGACTTATGGCTCCCATGGTATCAAAATCATCTGTGACCTTAAAAGATATATATGCCCCCCAACGCCCACTAATTGTTCTTATAAGAGTTATACATGATCATGGTAAAAAATGTATGAAGGTCATGGAAAAATATAAAGTAAGTGTCTGTAGTCAAAATTCTGCCTTCTTAGGTCACTCCAATTCCAGTTTCTCTAGGGGAGGTTGTTGAAAATATAGAGTGCTACAGCCATCCATCCCCAGAGGCTGATTCTGTGGACCTGGGTTGGTGAACAAATGTTATGGGAGACAGAACATGGGAGTGATGGACATGGGCCAAAACAATCAAGGAACTCTCTTGGGACAGAATGATTCAGGTGCGATGGTCCACGTTTAAATGTTTGGTAGAAAGTTTTTTTGCAATGGAAGTCATTATTATGAAATAAATTATATCTTGACCTAACAGGATGGAGAGGTTTGGGATATATGCAAAGGAGGAGAGGAGGAAAAACAATAGAGTAAGGAAAAGGGGTGTGGGTGTGGAGCCTGCCACAAGGAGAGTAGCCTGGCTGGGGAAAATGGTTGGGGCACAGCCGGAGTTTGTGTAGAAGGGATAAAGGTGAACACCAGAGTGTCCTTAAAAGCAAAATGAAGTGTGGACTCAGTGCAGGTTGGCGAGAAAGAAAATGACAAGAAGGGTGCCTGTCAGTTCCAGTTTGTGCAGCCTTCCTCAGGGCAACGTGGGGATCTGCTTCTATAATGGGAACGGACTGAAATAGCCACCTGCCCTCTGAGGCTTGGAGCCCAGGATTGCCAGTAAGTGCAAGGGGGCCTCCGGAAGCCTGCTCCTCTTTCTTCCCTCCCTTCATTCCTCACCCCATTTTTCTTTCCCCTTCTCAGATTACAGCTCCTTGTTCAGCCTGCCCTCACTGGGTCTCCCGTGCTCCACCCCTCCCTTCTCCAGAGCAGGAGGACCATAACAAGTGATAAAAAGCTTTGGGCTATTCAGAGTAAATCGATCCCTCCTGTGAGAAGTGCTAACTCTCTGTTTTAATTACTCACGGCTCCTTGGGGTGAACAGCATATTCTCCAAAGGTCACATAAGCCCTCTCTTTCCCAGCTTTCTGGCTTCAGGAGTTACAGTGCAGCATTTTGCCTACCTTACAAGATATTTATAACAAGAGCAGCTGCCCTCTATCATGTATATCTGCATCCCAGGATGAAAAAAACTATTTTCCCAAGGTCAGTCTGGAGTAGAGCTGCTTTTTGATTCAGAAAAATATGGCTAACTCATTGTCCGCCTAAGATCTGCCCAGTCTATGCCCCCAAGGGACCCCAAGTTCTAGATCAATGGTACTCCCTCCAAGAGACCTTTTTTAAATATCTTAAGCATGGAGCAAAGTAAGTCTGACATGGGGTGTGAAGCAGATTAACTTGACTCCTGCTGTTGAAGTAATGAACATTCCAAGCCAGATCATTCTTTTACTATTTTTAAGGGTTAAAGCTGAAACAAAATAAGCAAGTTTTAGGAGGCAGAAGTTGGAACAGATGCTTATGTATGTAGGAAAAGTATGCATTCAAGTTCCTTTTTTATTGGCTTCGTTGCATAGTGTTTTATTGAAACCCTGGAGCTTTCCTGTTGTAAATGTATTAGTAAATTTGGGGAGATAAGAAATTTTACTTGTCCACTGTAAATAATTTTTTAAAAACCCTGTAGTGAAGAAGATGTCAACTTCCGAAGCTGATATGTAAAGCATATTGAAACCCAATCATTTAACCCCAGAGCCCTGAACAAATTCGGAGATCTGATTTATGAGATTTGAGGTGTGCGTCTGCTGAAACAAACTGAGGGAGTCTCAATTGTTGATGAGTCACAGAGTTGTAGAGCAGAGCCATGATCTCGGAAGAGCCCAAATCACTAAATATGTATTGTATGTACAATCTGGGATCAAAGTAACCCAGGCGGTAAGTTATTTGCTCGTTGTGAGGTGTGATAGAAAGAGTCTCTAAACTTTGTATCTCTTGTTTCTTAAAAGAATCAGTGAGTTATTTCCAGAGAGATATGAGATATCTACCTTATCAGAAGTAAGGCCTCCCTGGCCTACAGTGTGGTTTGGCCAGATGATCCAGGGTCCAACATTTCAGCCAGTTGGGGGCCCTTTCGAAGGTCATTTTTGAGAAGAGCATTCCCTGGCTGCATTTAGTATAGAATGGAAATTTCATTTGCAGTTTCCTGCCATAAACTATGCTCATGTCTTGTCACAAAGCATCACAAGATACTATTATTCTATCCCTCCATCCTGTCTCATTTCCCAATATCCTGATTGATGTTACTGTGCTTTAAGGCAGGAGAGATTCCCTTTAAACCATCTTTCAAAGGTGATTTCCTCCCTCACTTTTTCTCTAAGCCTTATTACCCAGCCTAAGAGCTCCAAATTTATGCCAGCTTTTAAGAAAGTGGCTCTCTCTGGATTCTTTGGAGCCTGAACAGCTAGAAAGAAACACTGCTGCTGTCTATTTCAAGCCCCTCACTTCGCTTATGAAGAAATGGAGAGGCAAAGAGGTCAAAGGGCACGCTCTGTCATCTCCACCTACTGGTTATAGCTGTTTGCTTTATGTAAATGGTGTGAAGAGGGATTCAAACAGAATGGGCAGGTAATAAATCCACAAAGTAAAAAGATGTCCATGTTCTGTCATGATGGCTATTCTTAAGTAATCTCTCTCTCTCTCAGAGGGGGAAAACAAACATCTTATTTCTTAAAACAACAACAACAACAAAAACCCTATGGGTACTGTATTTTCTTTTGAGGTCTTCTCCAACTTCAGTTTAAATGTCTAGACACCCAGAAATATTTCTAGGTGGATTGTAAAGGATTCCTTAGCAAAGATTCTGTTTCTCAAAACGCAGGATAACCAATCCAGGGTAAAGCTTCAAAGGGTCTTTATTTCCAAATAGACTTTTGAGTGGTTTTTCTTAGCTGAAGAGGCAGACGAGGGAGATTACAGCATGATGTTCATAAAGGCTTTGGCTGTGGCCCTATCTCTGGCTTATCAAAGAGACGTCTGGATCCTCTTGGGGCCCAGAGATAGCGTCAGAAGATACACAATGAAGTATTTCAAATTTGAAAGTACTCTTTATCCCTTTTTGTCATGCATTTTTTCCTAGTTACTTCATTTCTTTCTTTCCCTTTCTTTTCTGATAAGTGGAGTGTTAGAAGAAGCTCAATGTAACATTGAACGCAGCACTTCTCTGGTATGTGAGTATTAATAGTCCTTAACAGTCACCACGAATGGCTGCCCG